AGAGAGAAAGCTTGTGATTTCTATGGTTTTTAGAGGGGCTCTTGTATGTAGAATGAAGTAGATGGGTGCTCTATTTATAGGGAAATGAGAGGGAAAGGACAGGTTGGAGGTTTCCTTCCTAAGAGGGAAAAGTTTGGCAATTTGGATCCAATCTTCCAAAAGGTGCTCCTTGGCTTCAAAGTGATCTGAAGTCAAGTGTAATGATTATGCTAGAGGTGGATGAAGTGATGCTAGGGAGCTAGAGGCATGGTTGCTTCTGATTTCCACTTTTCACCTTTTGCATTTTCTTGAATTTTATAATGCAAGTTGCATTTACAACTTGCAAGCCACTTGCCTTGGCTTCAAATTTTTCATTTCCTCTGCATAATTTCCACACTTCTATATTTCAAACATCCAAATATCAGAAATAACAAGATCCAAGGGCTGAGAAAGGTCCAACTTGATGAAAATCTCACTTGTAGAAAAACCAGAGTTTTGTGTTTCAAGTGTGACAGTCCCAACTTCACCAATCCATAACTCTCAGCTCACAAATTCCATTGATATGTTCTAGTAATTTTTGGAAAGAAATCATGTAGCTCTAAAACATTTATGTTTTCATGAATTTCAGATTCTCAAAGGAGCTTGGCCAAAAAGCCTCTCAAAGTTGCTGAAAAACAAGTTAAAAGTGAAATTTCTCTAAGTTATTTTCCCTTCTTGAAATGAATTTGATCATAACTCCAAATCTATGCATTTTCTGATGATGGACCACTTGGATACTTTTGTAGGAATTGTCAAGAGCTTTCCAATGAGCTTTGAACCAACTCAATTGGATGTGTGGTTAAGGAGTTATGGTCTTGCCCCTTTCAAAACCCTAATTCCCGACTTTTGCGATTACTCCTCAACCCTTGATCCAATTGTCATGAAACTTTATGGGTAGATGCAATATGTCATTAGGAACATTTTTTATTCACATATTGAAGTCAAATTCCTTATGGTTGGAGAGTTGACTTTTCGGTCAACCGTTCGATCGATCGGTGACTACCGAGTCGACTGTTGACGATCCGGGTGTCTTGAGGCTTTGAATCTTCTTGAATGGACTTCACTAAACCATATAAACCTTATGAATCAAGATTGCATCATTAGAACACCTTTCATATCAAAAGTCAAATTACAGTTGACTTTTCCTGATTGAAAACCCTAATCGGGCCTGAGCTGCATTGTCTTCAATATTTGGGTGCCAACCTCAAATTTAATTCATATTTGAAGCAATGTAGCACCCTTGACCCTATTTCATTGGAAATCAATTCAAGATGTCGATTGATTAAACCATTGAAACCTCGACTTATTTAACTGTGCGAAAAAAACCCTAATTTCCTCTTGTTGCTTGGATACTGTGCAGATGAACTGGATGATCATTCCAACCCCACTATGACCTTTGAGATACTCAACAGGCTTCTCCTTTCTTTTTCTCATGCTCCTGATGACTTGTACCAATGCTTGTGGCAAAAAAAAAAGGCGGGCAAATTTAGGGTATGGCAAGTGTAAGCAGGATTAGGCGATGTCTAGAATGTTAATTCTCTATGCCACTACTCAGGGTCTCCTATTCCTAGTCAACTAGCGTAAGTATCACAATTGCCCTATGTCCAACACATACGCTAAGGGTCAATATTCCATATGTTCCCAAAATCAATTTAAAAGAGTATATCACATAAAAAGCTTTAAGAACAAGAAACAATTGCATAGAATTATATATATATATACAAAGTCAAATCAACATATAATCCAACAATATTGAAAAAGGTTCATCACACACAACTGAACCTAGAGGAGTTTAGTTACGCATACTGAAAATTACAATATCAATTGAATAAAGAAGAAACAAATGAATTCCCTTGGAAGATTGGTCTCCAATGACTTCCAATGCTCTCAAAATCACCCTTGATGATGTAAAAATTGTACTTCAAGTGCCAAAATTCATAACCCTTACCAAAATGCAGAAGTTCCCCTTAAAAAGAACTCAGAACGGGTACGAACACGTCAGAAAAGCCCAAAAAAAGGCAACATCACGCACATCATACTTGCATTGCGCGCGCGATGCTGCACATGATTATTCCAGTGGCTACATACTTTTTCACCATTTTCACTTGCTTTTTCACTAAGTCTAATTTCTTCACTTTTACCTATTTTTCTCTCATTCTTTGGTCTTTCTTCTTCCTTTTGACTCATCTTTCACTTATTTTTCTCCGATTCTTTGCCTAATTTCATGCAATGACAGACTATCATCAACCTTCTTAGAGATTTTCAGGTTGATCTCAATAACTAAAAGCAAAAGTTTTTTTCAGTAAAGCTCAAGAAACCAAAACAGATATTTTATGACTAGTTTATCTCAAGACTCAAAATCAATCTTCTCAAAAGAATCGCACTCTTAAGAATCAAACAAATAACACACCCACTTACCACAATCTTCCTCGCAAGAAAAATTTCACTTAAAAGAGCTACGACAACTTTAAGTGAAAAAAGTGTTTCGAGAGAGGGAAAGAGAGAAAATATAGAGATAAATTCCAAAGAAAATGTAAAGCTTTAGAAAGTGGCGTGAAATAAAGTGGAGGCGAGCCTCCTTTATATAGGAGTTAGAAAAGTCAGAAAAGGAAATGATCCATGAGCAGAATTGATAAGCCAATCGATAGGCATAATGCTCTAATCGATTAACCAAGCCATTTTTAATTGAATACTATGCCCATAAAGGAAGTATTTGATATAGAACTGTTGCAAGTCTTTAAGATGATGTCCTAATCGTTTAGTTAACCACTTATCCCTTATATAATAGATTCACTTAATGATACAATCAATTGGTTGGCTCATAAAAGTTTTGTGAATCGATTGACACAAGTTACCAATCGATTAGTTAGTTCAAAAATTGGATAACTTTTTAGTCACTTGCCTTGACTTAGAAAATTATTTTCAAGATAAAAACATTTGAAAAAACATTTTAAAGGTGCGTGTGTGTGTGTGTGTGTGTTTGTTTGTTTGTGTGTGTGTGTGTGTGTGTGTGTGTGTGTGTGTGTGTGTGTGTGTGTGTGTGTGTATGTGTGTGCGTGTGTGTGTGAGTTATCTTAGTACTTCAAAGTTACTTCCTTACTTTTACAAAACTCAGGTCACTTAGAAAAATACGACACATTGAGCTTTCTAACTTTATCTGAGGTTTCAAATTTCTTTGTTGGATGCTTATGATCATATAAGCACTTTGATCTCAAGTCTCTTTATGTTGATGAGGTATGTGATGTTTCTCTAGTCAGGCCATCATCATTAAGAAGTTGAACACTATTGCCACCAACTTTAATCATCGTTGTCGTCATCAAAACTTCAGGTTTCAACTTTATACCTGCAAGTACATATATCCATATTATTACTTTTATCTTATTTTCTTATTTTCTTTATGGTTTGTTAGGTCAACAAAACTCTTGAAAAGGTGCGACCTATGGATGTTTTATCAGGGCCCCACAGTAGGTGTCAATCATGCTTGTTGTGAGCATAATTGTATACCTTGCTCGAGATAAGCCAAAAAAGATTGTGTGTTAGTGATTTATAAAGAATGTGATGTTTAGCCCAACCCTAGAAGTTGTTATATATAGCCCTTCATGACCTAGCAAAACATGTAGAGTCTTAAGACTACTTTCTCGACTTTGACTCATGTGACACTGCTCTATCAGGGAGCGTGGTGTGAGTGAGTTATCTCGGAGGATCTCTCAAGATGTGGAAAGGTTGCCTATATGCTCAACATGTGTCCTTATTGTCGAACCTTATTTTTGTCCTGCTTAGACCAAAATATTAATGGCAATTCACATTTTTCAAGCATAAAGCTCATAGAAACAAAGTGGTTAAGAAGGAAGATAACAACCCACAACTTGTTAAACACGAGTTCAATAAAAATAAAGTGGTTAAAAAAAGATACGGTCCATGTTTAAATCAAAATTTTTAAAAAAATTAATAATTTTTCATAAATTGTACTATAATTAAACTCTTCACTCACATTTTACACAGATATAGAGATTGGACCCGAATCTGATTGAATTAGATTTGATGTTCGACCCTAATGATATTAACACTCGATTCATACAAAAGTGTTTGTAATATATAAAATAAAATTTATATATAGATAAAAAACAACCGGACAACAAATTGTGTCGCTATCTCTATAAATTACATTCATTAATTTAAAAGACAACATTAATATGCATGAATATTTGAACTCTCTATAAAAGATTCACCAGTCCTAGTGCTAAAAAATCAAAAATATTAAAAATAAATAATATAAAAACATTTTGTTTGTAAGAACATATTTTCTAATGTGTCACCATTTTAATTAAAACCGCTTTAAGAATTATATGTCCTGAAATAAAACCTCCCATTCTCAATCTCTACAAAGAGAAACCTCCATGAAGCTTACACATAAAAAATAAATATTTTCTACCGCATATCAGAACATTTACTTAGTTAAATGTCATATTGATTTAAAGATTAACATATACATATTAAATTGACATATGTACGGTAAGGATTCTCGTAAATCTAACACTTAGAGAGAACTGCAGTAACACTTGATCTAATTTATATATTCTTACAGCATTTAAAATAACAAACTTCCATTAAAAAGTTAGAAATAAAAGTAACAAACTGCCACTAAAGATTACATAACCGCCACAGATACGGTGATGAGTCATAGCTAGAAATAGAACCAAACACAGTATATACAAATATGTATGAAATAAAAGAATCCAAGTTGAAGTAAGTAGTCATCACTTATACAAATAACGTGTCTACTTTTCAACATTTCACGAACCAGGTGTCTCACTTCCACATACACCTTCCTTCCATTCAAACCTCTATTTGCCTCTTATAACCACACTCAAACTCCACGCTTTTGAAGAATCTTCTTCATTGTCTAAAAGAGTCTTCAACAATATATAATTATTCTCAGCAGCAATCTCAAAAGTGAAAGAACAAAAAAAATTTAACCATTAATGGCAACCAGAAGATATGCGATTGGAAGAATGGACGAAGCAAACCACCCAGACTCTATAAGAGCAACCGTAGCTGAATTCTTCTCCACTTGCATCTTTGTCTTTGCTGGAGAAGGCTCCGCTCTTGCTCTAAGTTCGTACTATATACTAAAAATTATTTCTGTAGTACTGACACCTCAGAAAATAGGCTTGTTGGTGTCGGGGTTGTGTCTGTGTTAAGATAGTAAATTATAATATCAATATGAATACGTAGCTTAATTTGTGCGGTTAATTGGTTTCATTGCAGGGAAGATATATAGGGATGAAGGTGCATCGTCTGGTGAATTAGTGGTACTTGCACTAGCTCATGCTTTTTCACTATTTGCCGCTATTTCTGCTAGCATGCATGTATCAGGTGGCCATGTGAATCCTGCTGTCACTTTTGGTGCTCTTATTGGTGGTAGAATCTCAGTTCTTAAAGCGGTTTATTACTGGATTGCTCAGCTTCTTGGTTCTGTTGTAGCTTCTCTCTTATTGAGGCTTGTCACTAACAACATGGTATAATATAACACTTTATATATATCACCAGAAGATACGGAGGTGTCGGTGTTACAGAGTAAATAACTAACTATTGTATTGTGTTTGTTGGTTACAGAGACCTCAGGCTTTCAACTTGGCGATAAATGTTGGTGCTGGACACGGGCTAGTACTCGAGATTGCGATGACATTCGGTTTAATGTATGTTGTATATGCTACTGCCATAGATCCCAAAAGAGGCGTCATTGGGTCAATTGCACCCTTAGCAATTGGACTTGTTGTTGGAGCAAATGTTCTGGCTGGTGGTCCGTTTGATGGTGCATGCATGAACCCTGCTCGGGCATTTGGGCCTGCTTTGGTGGGCTGGAGATGGGATTACCATTGGATTTACTGGGCGGGTCCATTGATTGGAGCAGCAATTGCAGCAGCTATATATGAATATATTATGGTTCCAACTGTTCCTTCTTCTCAGACTCATCCTCAACATCAACCTTTGGTTGCTGAAGATTACTAGTTACTTTAAATTATATAATGTGTTTTGTAATGTATGTATGTAAAAGTCTACTCTTTTCTTTTCAATTTCTTTTGTTGCTTCCTAGCTTATGAAATGTCCATGGTACTATTGAATAAAATTGAATAAAGTGTGAGACTTTATCACTCTAAAATTTGTCTTTTTTAATAATGATAAGCTTAGATGAGTTGAATTCCGTTTAATTGAATGATATGTTTAGTTTAGTAACATTTTTCCTATGTTTTTAAGAGCATTTTTACTATATCCGATGAAATTGAATTCACATTCTTGAACAGAGAACGAGTCAATTTTATAGTAACCTTCATTAAGTAAGTTTGCACGATTTAAGAACTAGACATTGTGAAATGTTATATATAAGTTGCTTTTAAATGAGACTTGTGTGAGTTTGGATGGAACCTGGTGTTGTTCAAAAAAGGGTATGGACCCGGCTGAAATTTGGAGATTCGCTCGGGTTGAGATTGTGATGGATTCCTTCAAATTTAATTTGGAGATTCACCTAAGTGAAAAAGATTTTTGTTTTTTAATCATCAAATTGCTCCATTCCGGTTTTTTTCTTTTCTTTCTTTGGTTAAGGAGGTACCTAGAATTATAGGATGCTTTGTAGAGTAGGTATTGAGATTTTTTTCCTCTTTTAAAGTTTTTTATGATGAATTTAAGGGTTTAAGGACTCTCAGACGATTTAGCTTTGTTGTCTCTTGTTATTCAATTATGATTTTAAGGGACTGAGATCAGTCACACTTAACTTTATTGTCTCTTATTATTTAATGATCAGATTTAATTTTGTTGTCTTTTATTATATTTAATTTTGTTGTCTTTTATTATATTTTATCTTTACTAAATAAAGTTTGAGTGTCAGACTCGGCTTTGGTGTTTTTGTCGGGTCAGATCAAATGTCTATTGTTCTTTTATCTTATGGTTTAATATTTATTCTAAATATTTCTTACTTCAAATATCTCTTATCTCTTTTATTTCAAATATTTCTTATCTGATCGAGAGATATATGTAGTCTCAAAGGTGATGTTTGATATGTGTTGAGTGATTTTAATTCTTTGTTGTTATGCTGAGAGGTTATGAGGGTAAGTGTAATACCCTAAATTTTATCCTTAGATTAGCCGGTTTATTTCGCATTTCATATCATTTTGTATTGCATTGTAAACTAACCGCTAACCAGTTTGCTCAGTCTGTTGGTTTTACAAGAAAATCATGTTGTATGAGATTTAATTGGTGAAGGACAAAATGGTCATTAATGTGCAGCCTGCCGACAATTCATGAAGCCAAGTCGTCATCAGGGGTTCCTCAAGTGATTAGGATGTCCATCTCCGAGTCCTGTGATTTATTTGAGGATAAGCTGAATTTTACGGTATTTTTGACGTCAGATTTCTCGTGACACAGTGTATCTTATTCAAGAGCCGAGATTTAGTTTTCAGTTGGTTTTCAGAAATGTTGTTGATTCCTAAACCATATGGAGCTGACTGTGTTGCAGTATAAGTGGGTTCAGGTTAAATCGGTGCGAGAATGTGCCTTGAGGAATTTATTTTAACATACGCACGTTTTTCTGCTTTTTTTTGGTCAACAGTCGATTTCAAAAGAACAGTAGAGTTTGGTGCACGTTGAATTTATAATGAACATCTATTATTTTGATTGTGACCATTAGTCATGCCGATTCAGGTTACCGGGTTAAAATGGTCGAGATGTGGTGGGAATGTTCAATACGGAAGGTAGTTCGTTTTCCCGTTTAAATGAATTTCTCTGCCTAACTATTCAGGCCATGTTCACCGTTAGTATCAGGTACGAACTAATTTGCAAGATGATTTGTTTGAGCTCAGTTATGTCTGATTTAAATCGTGCAAATGATTAATTGTCGAGTTCGGATTTAGAAATCGGGTAAATCTCATTCGAGGAATTTAATCAATTTGATTTATTTGGATGAGCTTGAAACGGGAGAGTTTAGCCATTTGAATTTAATCGAACAAGTTGGATTTAATCAATTTGATTTATTTGGATGAGCTTGAATCAGAAGAGTTTAGTCATTTGAATTTAAGCGAACAAGTTGGATTTAATCAATTTGATGAGCTTGAATCAGAAAAGTTTAGTCATTTGAATCTAATCGAATAAGTTGGGATTTATTCCTCTTTCTGATGGTTTTCCAGATTGAGTGTTTGTTCTGATGTTCTTCCGGAACATATCTGATGGTTTTCCAGATATTCCTTTTGATTTTGATGGCTTTCCAGAATTTATCCGATGTTTTTCCGGATTTATTCCTCTTTCTGATGGTTTTCCATATCGAGTCTTTATTCTGATGTTCTTCCAGAACTTATCTAATGGTTTTCCAGATATTCCTTTTGATTTTGATGGTTTTCCAGAATCTATCCGATGTTTTTCCGGATTTGTTCTCTTTCTGATGGTTTTTCAGATCGAGTCTTTGTTCTGATGTTCTTCCGGAACTTAACTGATGGTTTTCCAGATATTCCTTTGTGATTCTGATGTTCTTCCAGAATCTTTCCGATGATTTTCTAGATATGTTTCTCTCTCTGATGTTTTTCCAGTTTGAGTTTTTGTTTTGATGTGCTTCCAGAACTTATCTGATGGTTTCCCATATATTTTCTTTCGATTCTGATGGTTTTCCAGAATTTACCCGATGTTTTTCCGGATTTGGTTTCTCTTTCTGATGTTTTTCCAGATTGAGTGTCGGTTCTGATGTTCCTCCAGAACCCCTTTGTTGCTTATCTGATGCTCTTCCAGATAGGTCTTCAAACTCTTCCCGTACATTTAATACTTTCCTAAATGTTTTGGATATACCTTCAGAGAATTGTCTTCATCTCATGCTCTTATAGATGTTTTCATTTTGTTTCTGGATACAACCTAGAGTTCATTCGATGTTTTTCCGAGCGTCTCTGGTGGGTTTCAGAGTTCATTTGATGTTCTTTCGGATGTTTCTGATGTTTGTTTCTCCCTGTATATTTTTCGACAATTCCTGAAGATCCCGCTCGATCTCTTCGTTTAAAGGAATGTCCCGAAAACTCCAGCACTTGTCATTTACCTGATCCTACCGTCGTGTAGATCATGTGTTACCCTGTCATCCTAGAGTATCAGTCGGTCATACTTGAACCTGTTGAAAAATTACTCTCGGATACTCCCCCAGTGGAGGTCGTCTCGTCGATGCCATCTCCATTGAGGATCCCATTCTTACTGTTTCATCCTAAAGTGACGGCTGGTCACGCTTGCACCAGTTGGCCATCGCTTTAGAATTCCCCAGTGTCGTGTTGTTCCACCAGTGCGTCGTATTCTCCTGTATGGTTCATTCGTCGCGTCTGTCCCGTGTGTCGTCGTGTTGTCTGCATCCTTGCATTTATCATTTCCAGCATATGCATCATATTAGATTCATGGCATTATCAGCATTATAGTTCATGTTCGTTTTGTCCATAGTATTGCATATTCACTGTAAGGTCCCTATTTTTTTTAGGGATGTCTGTTGTTTAGCGATTTCTAACTTTATTTCTTAAACGGATTATATGATATTCCTCTCTAAAGTAGAAATCTCACATGGTTTTAACCTAATGGAGGTGTTGTTAGTAGGTTAGATACGATTCTTGTTTCTAATGATTGATGGAAATTTTTGGGGGTTATGTCTCTGTGGGCTTAGAGATATTTTGGAAAATTTTTCCATCAATTCTTAACTCTAATCAATTGTAGGGGAAACTTTCTTGTTGGCCTAGTTATTCGGTTCAAGATTGGAAGACTTTTGTACTGTTGGAAAAGTTCAAAGTCCTTAAGTTGGTGTTGAAAGGTTGGAGTAAGCATGTGTTTGGTAATATAGACTTTCAGATTGACTCTTTAAGGGACATTGTTAGAAGGTTGAATGTGGTGATTGATCAAAAAATCTTTCTAAGGAGGAAATTCATGCCCGTTCTAGATACTTTGTAGATCTTTTGTCTTTGTTAAAGGTAAAAGATTCTCAATTGTTTTAAAGATCCAATTCTAAATGGCTTAAGGAAGGAGATTCTATTTGAAGTTCCTATCATGCTTCGGTTAATAGTAGCAGTAGGAGAAATGTTGTCTTAACTTTAAACGTCGATGATGATGAATGGTTGGCATGGGTGTCTTAGATCAGGCAAGAAGTGTTTAATTATTTCTTAGAGATCTTCAAAGAATCTGATTTACAAAGGTCTCACTTGGATAATATTGTCTTCCCATCTCTTTCAATCGAGGAAATTTTTTCCTTGATTGCTCCTTTTACACTACAGGAGTTAGGTGGTATTATTGCCTTGTGTGAGGATAACAAGAGTCCTGACCCAGATAGTTTTTCCTTCTCCTTCCTTAGAAGGTTTTAGAACTTGTTATGTTGGAGTGATGTTTGATTAGTTTCATCAGTTTTTCTCATTACCTCGTTCTTTTGCATCTTATTTTATTATCTTGATCTCTAAGGTTAAATCGTTTGTTCATTTAAGTGATATCAGGTCTATTTCTTTGTTTTGCTCCCTATATAAGTGAGTCACTAAAGTGTTAGTTGTTAGACTAAGGGAGGTCATGGATAAGCTTATTTCTCCAAATCAATTTGCCTTTTTTTAAAAGGTAGAATGTTGGTCAATGGCATGGTAGTTGATAATGAAGTGATTGATCTTGCAAAAAATTCTAAGAAACCTTTGTTTCATTTTAAATTTGATTTAGAGAAAGCTTATGCCTTAGTGAGCTGAATTTTTTTGGATTATATGTTAGTTTGTTTTGGTTTTAATGACAAATGGAGATCTTGGATTAGAGCATGTGTGCTTGAGAGGAATTTCATGTTATTGTTCAACGGTTGCCCAACTCAATAGATTAGAATCCAAAAGGGACTGGGGTAAGGTGAGCCATTGGCCCATTTTATTTTCCTTTTAGTGGCAGAGGGCTTAAGTGGTTTATTTAGGAAAGAAGTGGAATTAGGTCTGCTTTCTAGTTTTAGGATTGGAACTTCTAAAATGGTAGCATTCTATCTTCAATACGTA